TCCATCCATCGGGAGAGCACCATCTAAAAGTCTTGAGAAAAACTCCTCGAAACTCTTTATAATTACAAACTCTAAAAACTATGTTTTGTATGGCACCATATACTTTGCCATCAAAAACTTTTTAAGCCATGTCTTACTACATATACTCGACTTGTAGTCCAAGAGATTCTTTATCAATATACTTATGTGATTTAGCAAGTTGGTTTTTTGAAATAAAAGATTCTACTATAATTTTCATTTACCATGCTTATTTATTAAGAATTTTATGAAAAGTAATACCCTCAAATGCGTATATACTAATCACCGACCCTCAAATGCGTTGCGTGAGCAATTCGAAATTTTAGTGCACAATTTCGAGGATTGAACTGTCTTGTGTCACGGATTCCTTCGTTCCGGCCATATTTCATGTGGCAATATTATACAGAAATGCATAATCGTGCCATAAATCGAGCTCCCATAAAATTTTTCAGATCTAATTCAACGATTGTTTTTGTAAATCTTTTTTCTGGAAATACCTACTTGAATAGCGTCTCGCTTAGGCCAAACGCAGTCGTCCACCAACAACACATGAGCCTTGCGAAACTCATTCTATTCCCAGTTAAAATTTTAATGTCAAATTTAATGTACTGTCAGCCATACTCAGAGACATAGATAGATTCAAAGAAACACCTTTTGGCGCGTCATTGGCTGCTTTCAAAGTAGTAAATAGCCTTTTCTCAAAATAGTTAAGTGCGTCGGCCTGGATAGCTGAAAGTTCGAATCCTGTCTGATGCCTGGACCTGGACCTAATAAACTGTGACGAGTGAATGTTATCTTGTAAAATTGTCTTAAGATTTATATATTTTTTTTAATCTTGCAATTTAATGCTTAAATACCTTACACTCAATTTGCGAAATGATTGACTTTTTTTGTTTAAATGATCATCAAATAATATCAATTGATCCTCAAAAAATGAAAATGCTAACCTAACCTAACCCCTTGAATACCAATTGTACGTTTTAGGTCATCATGTATAATTTTTTTGATCGTTTAAATATTTAATAATAGTATAATACACAATTAATCGATATGATTTTTTAGGTGTAGGATGGAAAAAACTGACTGTGACTCTAATTTATTGTAATTCCAGTCCAGAAATGAATTTGAGTTTTTATTGAAAATTTACTTCTTTCTGAATAATAATTATAATTTTATAGCACTTAATCGAAATGATTTTTATTTGTATTCTACACATAAATAAAGCTGTGTTTAAATTATTTGTAAACTACTGTGTTATGATATCGTCATGGTGTTTTTCGTCTGATCTGCTACAAATCTGTTGATTAGTTATGCTTGTGCCCGTGTGACATTGTTTTGTGATTGGACGCTCTTTCACTAAATCGAAAGTAACCATTGATGCATGCGGTTTTACATTACTGGTGTCTGGTTTGCATGAATGCAATTAACAAGTTATTTAAACCCATACTACGTAATACTTACATCTTTCACAGCAAAAACGCAGAACCGATTTTGATAATCTTTTGGTATTAAAATAAATAGAAACACAGACCAGACTTTTTGTTGAGAAAATAACATTTTAAGCAGTTTTTATAGACTACGATTAGGTATAGCTAGCACTTGCTAGTACACAGCTCAAAATAGATAGTACAGAAGGTAATCCCATTAAGAGTATGTACTTCACTTTTCATATGTTTCATGATTTTATGTACAATGAAATTGTTCCAAATAAAACTTTATTATTATTAATTATTATACTTACGCTCGGCGGTCGGCGCTCGAGGTAGGATTATCAACTTTAGCTTGTACACAAAAAATCGTGGTATTGGCATCTATTTGCATGACTTATGGTTCAGAATGAAACAGGAAGAATGGAAATACAGTGCAAACTTAATGTATCGTACCTCAATATAACTACGTCGTTGATTTAACGAATTCTTCGTAATCCCCTTGTAATATCCGTAAGAGTCAATGTAAAATATACCTTTACATTGCGGACAAACTATAACGAATTTACAACTATCAAAAAAAGTGTAAATTAACGAATTTCGTCAACCCAAAAGTTTTATATTATAACATTCCCACCAATATATAATCCTTAATCCTATAGTATGTGATTCATAAAGCGACCGGTTTCGACACGTTATTTTTTTTTTTACCTTTTCACTCTAACAAATTATTTGATAGTAGGGTTAGTAGTAGCTGTAGTCTTAGAAATAGGTCCCGTTTTTACCCTTTGGGTACGGAACCCTAGAAAAGACAACTCACCGTTCAATGTTGAATTCAAACAACCGTTAAAGTTAAACTTATTTGTTGCTCCATTTTTGCACAAAGAGTTTACAGACGCGGGTATCAAAGAGATAGAACTCGCTCTCATACTAGTCTCAAGCAGTCCTAGATATTGTGTCCGTGAGCGGTGTTTATGTGTGCGCTGCTTCAGCGCACTTTGTATGTAGAGTACCTTCTGTACTACCTATTTTGTGGTCAGGGACACAGGGTAATAATAGACATTTTAATACAGTGTCGTTTAACAAGAGTATTTTATACGTAGCTATCGATCGGTTTGCGAATCTACCTACTTCAGGAGACCTTGTACTCGTAACAATTAGCAAGAAACTAGGCAACGTTGTTGGTTTCATTTATATTTTCATTCAATGACAATTTTTTAATACAATATAGTTGATAGAAACCCGTGGCTTGACGCCTGTTTCAGAGGTAGATTATTTTTGAAGTTTCTTAAAACTGTGAATTCTGTAACTTAATGAAGCATTAAATTTAAGTACACATCTCTTAGAGTGACAGTTAATCTCTTTTCTCTGTGATACATTTTTATACAACTGTGTGTTCACAATATTATGATCAATAATGTTAAATCTTGCAATGCAAACCCAAGCGGTTTGCTATTTCTTTTCACATTGATTTTGCCTGTATTTATGTTATTAACCAAGTGAGGTTTTCAAATTGTTTGTTACTAGAAATATATGTTACCGTATCGTTTTAATATCAATGCATCAGATTATCTACTAAACTCGAAACGACAAACGTATAAATAAGAAAATAATAGTATCCACGAACGCCCGCCCGTCTGTAGATAACATTACAATAATATGACTGCGCGCTGCGTGTAAAAAAAAACACGCAATCAAAAATGCATAAAAGAAGGTCATCTCTTTTAATTTTATTTACTCACGTTAGGCCACGATTTCTTAACGGTTTTCGTATCTTAACCATGGACTAATAATATTATAAAAATACTAGCTGACCCAGCGAACTTCGTACCGCCATAAAAAATAGGGGTTGGTGGTAGAAGGGCGAAAATTTTGGGTTATATTTATTTTTGAATGATGTATCATAAAATTTTTTTAAAAAAATATCTAAAATTGAAAAAATAAATATTTAGGGGATTACCCTTAACATTTAGGGGGATGAAAAATAGATGTTGTCTGATTCTCAGACCTACTGAATATGCATATAAAATTTCTAGGCATGCGTCCGATATATCAAAACGAATCCAAAATCCGATTTCAAACACAAATCGATACCGAACGATTTCTCAACAAGAAAATCCGATTTCAGAAATCTAACCGAACCAAAACGTATGTAAATCGGATTCGAAATTCGTGCTCGGAAGTCCGATTTCGATTTGCTGTTTACGGAAATCTATTGCTCTTCTCTGAGGCGGGATTATTTATCACTGAAAAGATATGTCGTCTAAAAACATCAAAAGTCGAGCAACTTACATTTTTGGACGCTAACCTGAAGTTTTTGTAAATGGTTTGAAAAATAATAAAAACAAACAGAAAAACAAAAAAAAATATGTAAAACGAAATCATTGTATAAAAGCCGATTTTTAAATGCGCCGCAAAAGTTTTACTCTTAACCGTAAACATAAATTTTCTGCTAGTCCTAAGCCTAGATTTAAAGCATGAAGGAAAATCTACGAGTATCCTTGCTTCCTACAATTAATTGTTTGTGATTGTCGTTAGCTAATAAAACCAAATCATAACACAAACTAGTGAATTGGCTAAGTTCGGCACATCTGAAATCGGATATCTAAAAACGGATTTTAAAATCGATTTTGAAATCTGAAATCCGATAAATATCCGTTTGCGTTCAAAACCAAAAACGCCCATGTCTAAAAATTTCACGAAAATCGGTCGGTCGGGTCGGTTTCGGAGGAGTTTAACCACATACACCGCGACACGAGAATTTTATATATTAGATGTATTATATTATTGGTCCATATCTTAACCTACTTAGTTCAAAACTATTGTGGGGTTCGTTGACAGATAATATATCTGTAATGATTTGAATTAAAAGTTCATTAACTTGCGAATATAGAATAAGTAAGAAGTTCATTTGGTTGTTACAATAAATGAAACTACTGTCATATCGATACACTTCAATGACACTACATCCCTCATTTGTGCGGTGGAAGTTTGTCAATCTATCACCCACTAGCGGCCGCCTCCGACTTTGTCGGTGCTATTATTTTTTTGAGAATCCTACAGGAACCCAATATTTTTCCAAGATAAAAAGTATCGTTTGTCTCAATCCAGGCCATAAAGTATTATATGCTTCCTTACCAAGTTTCATCCAAATCCGTTCAGTAGTTTTTGCGTGATTGAGTAGCAAACATACAAACTTTCACATTTATAATATGAGGAGAAACATTAGTAGGATAATAGCCAGTTTCTGAAATAACACGAGTGTCACGGACAGCAGATCCTCCCAGTTAAATAGTCATATTGATGTATTAATTTATTTAGACGACCTCCGTGGCCGAGTGGTTTGTACGCCGGGTTTCCTGGTGTCGCCGACTCGAGTCCCGGTGGGTGCAGATATTTGTGTGATGAATACGAGCATTTGTACTCCAGTCATGGATGTTTAATATGCATTACTATACAAATATACTTATACATGTACAATATGTGTATTCTATCCGTTACGCTAGTATCCCATAACACAAGCCTACAGTGCTTACTTTGGGGCTAGGCTAATTGGTGTGAGTGTTGGAAATATTTATTATTATTTATTTATATATGTATGTTTCTTTTAAGGTCACTCATACGAGGTACCATAAATACCAAACCCTAAAAAAGATTCGTGGCTTAACCCTTACTCTGTCGAACTCGTTATTTTTTTTACTGATTGAAAAACTCTCGTACATTTTATTACAGCATAGTTGCTAATATTGTGTGCCAGTCCTTACAGTGGTACGATACGAGCTACGGCCCTCCGTCGACGTCCACGCCCAGTCAGCCAGTCACCTGCGGTCGGTCAAGCGTGACTGACCGATCGGGCGGCAGTGCTGTCTGCTACCGGCACTAACCACTATTTGCGTATTCGCGCAAGTGGATTGCGTTGCGTTTTGTTTACATCAATACGCGCGGGTTTCCGGTGTATGGTTGTGAATCATCTGTTGGATTTGCGCGTTTTTAGCACGCCGCACGCCGCACGCTCGTGTGCGTCCCGCCCGCTGAAATGGGAAAAGTTTTCGAGTGAGTTGTGAATTTTCAGTCAGTCCACAATCTACGTTCTTCTTGAAAGTGTTTCAGCTTTAGAAGGGATACTACGTATTACATTTCACATACTTTAAATTACGATTAATAGCGTTAATAATATCTACAAAGTTGAAGTTCATACTTTAAATAAGTACCTATTAAAATATTTTTCAGTTCAATTCTATATATTTATTACTCCATGTGGGAATTACAAGTTCTTAAGATTTAGTTTTAGATCCAAACATGACTACAATATCGATGTCCATAAAATTAATACCTACACTATAGGGGTGATGACGGGGTACAGTAAACGAAATTCTATTTAGTCCGTCAGTTAGATGATCAAAAAATAATCGACACGTATTTTTTCTTTGGGCAATCAACGAAAAAATGACAAAGTTATAGCGCGTCAAATTTTGGGAGTAGGGGCTCGTGACGTCACTTTTAAGTGAAAATTGTACCAAAAAGTGACGTCATGCGACTTTTCAAATCAATATATCTCTGCAATGTTTATATTATGTGAAGAAAGAAAAAATACGTGTCCAATACTTTTTGATAATCTACCTGATAAACGAAGAAAAAAAAAATAGTCATCATCCCTATTATAATTAATCAATCACAGTACAATTTAAGGTTGGAGATTATTATAAATGTACTAGCTGACTCGGCGAACTTCGTACCGCCCAAAAGTAATAATTTGCAATAAATTAAAATTGCGACTATAATTTGAGATTTAAACTATCCTATCTCTCAAGTTGGATCGAACTGCACATGGTGTGCGAATTTTATTATAATCGGTTCAGTGGTTTAGGAGTCCATTAAGGACAAACATTGTGACACGAGATTTATATATATTAAGATAAATACACTACCTTTCATAAAAAGCTACTTATATATACAGTAACATTTTTAAGAAAAGCGTATGGTTTTGAACAGTCTCAAATTCGGGTAGCTTTTGCTACGTAATGTAGTAACAATAACAATACAAACTCGAATTTGAATTTTATAAGGCCACAATAGTTGTCAGCTTCATAATAAAAAAAATGATAATAAAACCTTTTCTCATTACCACTTACTTGAATAGGTTCACATTCAAATATTGTATCGATGCTAATGTCCGAAATAGCAATTATTTGTCAAAGACAAATAAATGAAAAAAGAAAATACTGTAAGCAATCATTCTTTTTTATTTCATAAGATTATAGAAACTTAAGAGAGGTTTGACGTAGCGGATTTTCCGCTCGAATTGCAACATGTCTGGCGAAGTAACCCCCCCACCTTAAAGAAGACCAGAATAAAATTAGAATATTTTTTTGAGGTCTTGTGTTTCTTTCTTGACGACCTCCTTGGCCGAGTGGTTTGTACGCCGGGTTTCATGGTGTCGCCGAATCGAGAGGTCCCGGGTTCGAATCCCGGTGGGGGCAGATGTTTGTGTGATGAATACGAGCATTTTTACTCCAGTCATGGATGTTTAATATGACGTATATCGATATAAATATACTTATATATGTACATTATATGTATTCTATCCGTTACCCTAGTATCCCATAACACAAGCCTTATAGTGCTTAGCTTGGGGCTAGGCTAATTGGTGTGAGTGTTGGAAATATTTATTATTATTATTATTATTTCGCTGAGCAAGTTTCCATGCAGGGCTCCACGGCGTAAGGGATTGGGTCACCGCGGGAGTGATATTACAGCTATTGCAAGGGTCTATCTATAGGCTATGTTGGCCGCTTACATCAGGCGGGCCAAGTGCTTGTTTGCCACCACTTAAAAACAAAAAATATACAGTAAAACCCGTTTAAGACGATTACACAGAGACTCAACCAAAAACGCGTCTTAAGCGATAAAGCGTATTCGTTATAGCGGATAGAAAAATTTTGAATTTGTATGTACAATATATAAGAATTATGAATTTTATGAAAATGTAGTGTATTATTATTTATTATTACGTTATTTAAATTAAGCACTTATTTTTATTTGTCAAAAAAGATTTTTGAGGCATTAGCACTTACAAGATTTTCAACATAATTTAACTTTTGCAGTGCTTCTTCGCTTTGATTCAAAGAAGACAAAATCGGAGTTAACTTATCTTCTACTTAATCATTATCAGTTAGGGCCTCTTCTTGTGTGTAATTCACATTCTCATTGAATTTTATGCTGCTGCTAGAGGGTATTATGTGTGGTGCTTGTTGGCGATTTGGGCGTATTAAACGGGATAACGAATCGTATTAAGCGTTAAGAAATGTGTAAAAACATGTCTCAAATCGTATTAAGCGTGATCGTATTAAACGGGTTATACTGTATTTAATTAATCAATCATAGTCACGAAGCGAAATAAGGATAATCAAAGCTTTGGTAAGGCTTAAAAAGCTTATCACAATTTTTTACTATGTTTAATCTTATCAACCAATATACGTTCATTTACGCAGAGAATGGGCCTATTACGCTAGCTATCTGATTTATTAACGTTGATGTGTAATTAATTAGACCCTCTTGTGTATGTTCTGGATATACCTATAGCGAAGCCCCACTTTCCATAGAGATGAGCAAACCCATAAGCATATTGAATCACATGAACGAACGTGTCTTCTGCCTATAAATAAGGTTTTGGAGTGTTACCGAAACATCACGTAAATACACACATCAAAAGTGTCTAGGGATCAAGCATTTTTATGCGGATTTCTTGAGATTGAGATGTGGCTTTGTAATAAATTTATGATTTTATAAATTTATATGGATCTTTTTTGGTGCATTTCATAATTTGAATCAGGAACTGTGAATCAAATTCGAGTAAAAGATGAAAATCAGCTGTCAATATTTTCCCTATAAAAACATACAACGCATTGAAGACATTATTAGTGCTACTGTTTCCCTACTACTGATTAAAACCAACGTTATTATGGAGCGGCGACGTCATTTAAGCAGGGAAGAAATGCTCAGAGCCGTGGGAATGATAGAAGCTGGTTCCCGGCAACGTACTGTGGCTTTAGCTCTGAATACAAGTCAGAGTGTTATCAGTCGACTTTGGACACGATACCGAAGCACTGGTACCGTGGCTGAGCGCCATGGAGGACGGTATCGCTGCACCACACGGAGACAAGACCGATACATTCAAATCTTAACTCGAAGAGCTCCAACAATAACCGCCATGAACTTAGCCGTGAGGCTTCATCACTCTTCAGGGAACTTAATTAGCGACCAAACAGTCAGAAACCGCTTGCATGAAGTGAACCTTCATTCCCGAAGACCGCTACGGGTACCACCTATAGCAATGCACAATCGTAGGATTCGATATCAATGGGCTCTTGAACACAGAAATTGGGCAGAAGAACAATGGCGTTTCGTGTGCTTTTCTGATGAGTCTCGTTTTGGTATGAGACCGGATACAAGACGTATACGACACTGGAGAACCCCTGGACGCCAACAGCGATTAAAATCCTGCCAGGAAGTCCATCCTTATAGTGGTGGAACCATCATGATATGGGCGGGTATTTGGATCGGCGGAAGAACTGAGTTGATTTGGATCAGAGGCAACCTCAACGCTCAAATTTATGCTGAGACGATTGTATCAGACGTCATCGTTCCTCTACAAGTGCAAATCGGTCCCTTATTTCAGTTAATGCATGATAATGCACGACCGCACACCGCAAGAGTTGTAAGACAGACTCTCGCCGCAGCTAACATCAATGTCCTGCCCTGGCCTGCTCAGTCGCCAGACTTGAACCCGATTGAGCATGCATGGGATATGCTACAGAGAAGAGCTCTGCCGAATATGGAGGGTATCCAGTCGCAAGAAGACCTTTTTTTGTTGTTGCAACGAACATGGGCGGCCATTCCACAGCGTGATTTGGATGAACTCATTTTGAGTATGCCAAACCGATGTTCTTGTGTTGTTAGTGTTCGCGGTAGAAATACGGATTATTAATTGTTTAAGTTACCCAATAAAATTTTAGAGAAAACTGTTATTTCAGTCTTTTTTTCGAACTTTTGTGTTAGTGGTTCAAATGTCAAAAATCCCTTTATTAGGAAAATGGCAAAATTCTTTATTAATGCAAAGGTGACTTGGTTTATCGTTACTGTGACAAACGAAAACACTTTATTTGATGAATCCTTAAAGAAAATTTTAATTAATATCAATCAGGAGAAAAGTTATTGCAAAAATATATGTTGATCCCTAGACACTTTTGATGTGTGTACATTTCCATAACCGTACCTGCGTACCGTAAACTAGGTATATCAATCCATTCAAAGCTCGTCTTGCTCTGACATTTCTTGCCTTGAGTGTTGATGTGATTTTGTTTTATTTTTTGTTAATATTTGATGGAAAGCCTCAGATGATTTCAGACTGGATCGAATTGCAGTCTATCATTTTCCGACAAATCTAAAGCTTAGATGTTTTCAAGTAAGCATTTTTGTTAACTTCTCTCGTCTCTTAAACATGGTTACCTTACTTGGGTGTTATTCCAAAATGTTGTTACAAAGAAATTGTAATAATTAATAGGTTTTTTCTTTTGCACCAAACAATGATTACGGCTCAATTATTTTACACAATTATTACAACTTTAATAGCATTAAAAAAACATGAGTTCGATAAAAATTGTCAGCAATGGCCTCAACATGATCGTTTTTGTAACCGTTTATTGGTTGAAACATGCACTTCTTAATCTATGGGAATTCGCTACGGTCACATTTAGCGACTCAATTTATCATGGTCTATGCTATGGCTATGGACAAGGCTAAATAAGCTCGTTTATCACTGATAAGACATTTTTGAGAATTATATGATTTCTGCGATTATAACATGAACATTATAAGAAATGTTGTGACCTATGTTTAGACCTGTTTATGTTTTAGAGTAGGTCAGAAAGTCTTCGCGTTGGGACTTTATCAACTCATAACATAACATCAGGTGGGGTAGAGTCATTTGCCTACCTGGCTAGGTATATATAAAAAAAAGTGCGAAAATCTCGCTTGCCAGAAGCAGACTTTCA